CCTCAGGGCTTACTAAAATATCCTTCAAACCCTGGCTCACGTGGTCTGGTGACATCCAGAGGCATATGGTTCTTTTCCTGGCTTCAGGGCTGGAGAAAAACAGGCAGAGGAAGGAGAGAGGGCTGCAGGATCAGGGGTGCAGAGGACAAATCCTGCTCTGCAGGCAGGTCCTGCTGAGGCATCTGAGCCTTGGCTGCCTCTACTTTCTCAGGAGATGCTTCCTGCCCAGCAGAGCTCTGAGATTCAGGTTTTCCCCTGAGATTTCTTCTTTTCACCCACTTTCAATGAGCATTTCTGGAGGGCTTGAGTGCACTTTGCTCTGGATAGCAGCAATGGAGGCTGAACACTTTTCTTGCATCCGCCTCTTGATAAATTTGGGATGGGCAGGAACTGGGAATTCAAGGAGGATGTGTAAATCCTGCCAGTGACCTCTCTGGCCCAAGGGCAGCCACTGTCCCCTGAGGGACCATGTTTCCCAGTGGTACCAGATCACCTGCAGCCATAGACTGTGCAGAGCCTTCCTGCCCATCAGGCTGGTGGCTACCAGCAGCCCTGGGGACTGAGGGTGCCGTGGAGCTGCTGCTCCTCTGGAGATAGCTTGAATCCTCCTGGGAAGGACAAAGCAAGGACTACCTGAGCCAGCAAAGTGCATACATTTAGCAGGAGGGGTTGGGGTTTGGCCATATGCCTTGACCTGAGGCTAAGGTGTCTAAGGACACGTTTCCCATGCAACCAGCGCACAGTGCAGGGAGGACTGAGCTAGCGGGATGCTGGGCTGGCTGGTCTGTACAGTGTGAGAGTGCTGACAGTTTGGCCACGCCACTTTGCCTGGACCTATTAATTCAGCAGCAACACTAAGTCATCGAGACCCACACGGACCTGAATACCTGCATTGCCATCCCTGGTCTTTGCTTGCCAAGAGCAACCCTGGCAGAGCCAGCTCAGGTCTGTGGTGGACATGTCCCAGATGTTGATGTTGGAGTGCAAAGCTTCACCATCACGTACATCCCTCTCCCCTTTCATAAGGTCACGGCTCAGTTCAGTTCATTTCTGTCAGCTCTGCAGACCCAGGGGCTTTACGGTGCAGAGATCCTGTGCACATTTGCCAGCACAGCTGACCAGAGGGACGCCTCCCCGGCTTGCCAGAACTGAGACAAACACTAAAGGGATGTGATAGATACAGTTGGGCTGGGCTTAGCTCCTACAGCACGAACCTAAAACAAGTGGGTTGTGTTGTCGGTTCTCTCCTGCATCTCTATTCCTGGTTCACAAAGCAGCTTTGATGCACTAGGTTGCTCCCTCAAGCTGGCCAAAAAATGGGGGAATACTGGGGCTACAAGTGGCCGTAAAACAGGTGGTTGTAGTATTGACTCCCTGCAAGGTGTTCAGTCCTTCAGCTCCAGGTACCACCTGTGCTGCTAACACGAGTGTCAAGATACATCTGACTGGGCACCAGCGCAGACGCATTGGTGTCTCTGAGACACGTCACCAAGGCAAGCTATACATAGGTGGGTGACGTGCGGGAGTTACTTTTCGCCAAGGTTTTGCAGTGTGTCAGTACAGAGGTGGGAACCCAAACCAGGTGTTTTGACCATTAGTCAGTGCTGCAGTTTCTGACTTCTCCCCCCACACCAGCCCTGGGGCTCGGTTGATAATGCCAAGTTCACTTTGAGATGCCACCACAGAGGTGAGCACAAAACACGTGGGTAATACCTGGGCAGTCTTAGCTCTGCCTGCTGTGGAGAGGTTAATTGCATGATCTCATCAAACAGGAAGAGATTTGGCTGCATGAATGTAGATGAGGCTTATTGTATTGCTGGCTAAGAGCTCAGGCTGGCTTCCCTGCTCACCTGACCAGTGGCTTTTTGAAGGGCAGTTCACATCAAAGCCTTCATGAATCAACCTCATAAAAAGCAGAGAGCTTTTTGATCTCCAGGAAAACTCTGCCTTTCATTAAACCTGAAGGAGGGGTCTGAGCCTGCTTGGTGTACAGCACTGGCAGTTCTCGTTGAAGCCAACTTTAAGTCAGCGGGATTCAAAGCAGAGCCTATAGAAGCAAATGCTTGGGTCTTTCTTTCCGTGTTGCTTTGTCAGGCAGGACCTTGTATTCATGAGCTTGTCAACAGAAAGTTCACTCTGACCAATGTGCAACAGAAGGTAGAGCTGATGCTTCCTCCAACAATCGCAACCTGCTTGTACTTTTGAAACCTGGTCCTGGGAGATGACCAAGTCCCTCCCAGTGTGGGGTCCTGCACCTGGATGCCGAGACAGACACTAAGCCAAGGAGTTGGGGAGGGCTTTGCATGTCCTGGTCAATAGGATATAGAGAGGAGGGACATGGAAACGGTCACAATTCCTATCAGGAGAGTTTGGGAAGAAACTGGGGAAGTTGTCTTTACAGTCAGCCCTGCTGTTTCATGGGATCTTAGCAGATGAGGATCCCTGAGCACATCAGGCATGTCTGTAGGTCAGGCATCAGACCAGCCCTGAGAGACAGAGAGCTGCTAAGTTTGTGAACAACCTCTCTGCTCCCACTCCCACAGGAGGATACACACTCCTAGCAGAGCTGATGGGAAGAAACCTCTGGAGACTGTCTGGTCCATGAGCCCTCCTCAAAGCATGCTCAGGGGTACATCTAATGGGACTGTGAATATCCCCATGGATGGAGGTGCCACAATTTCTCTGGGCAGTCTGTTCCATCATCCTCAAAGTAACCAAGTGTTTTCTTCCATTTAAACTGAATTTCCTGCATTTTGAGTTTGTGCCTCTTGTCCCGTTATGGGGTGCCAGATTTTCCACAGTGGAGAAGAGTTCTCAAAGGCTTCAAAGGGGAACACAGCACGGGACTCGGAGAGGCTGGGAGGGATGAACACCCATGGCTCTGTCCAACTGGAGCTACTCTGTGACCAGATTGAACCTCCCAGTAGCATGTGAGCCTTTGTAGACCTGCAAAAGTCTATGGCAGCACCCTTAAATCCTTTGGTTTTCTCCCTCCTGATACAGATAACAAAGCTGTTCCTCTTCCTCTGTTTTGCATTTTGTATTTTGTGGCCACTCTGAGATGGTTTGAAACCTGGTAACATGGAAAGCAGCATGCAAAGGGAAGCTGCGGACTTCTGCTCTCAGCGGGTTAGGAAAATAGCAGATTTGACTAGTGTGGAGTGCTGAGTCCAAACTGAGTCTCAGCCTGAGATTTGCGATGTCATGTCTGATAAAAGTAAACCAGAGACAAAATTCAAAGTGCAGTGCTGGTTTCAAAGGAGAGCTTAGAACCTCCCTGGACCTAAAGAGCTCCCAGTGGGAAGACCACTATGTTATTCCCAACTGTCACAGACCAGAGCTGACTTTGTGCCCTCTCTGAAGGTGTCCAAGGGAGCTCAGAGATTCAGACAGAGCTGATTTTGCTATGCAAATAGGAAAAGCTCTGCAGCCCATCCCTCTGCACCCCACAGCTTCTGGCCAGGCCCTGGCTGGCAGAGGGGTGCTGCTGCCCACGGGTGGGCCATGGAGTTATTTGGCCTCCCTGTGTTTTTCCAAGCACTTCCTCCCTCTCCGACCCCGTGCACACAAGCATCCCGGGGAAGAGGTGACCTACTTCCCAGCAGCTCAACAAGTTAATTTGTGGGATTAATATGTGTTTTCAATTCAAACCCTCATTTTGGATTTAGTCACAAGGTGGTGGCAGGATTCTTTGCCCCTTTCCCACCCTCTTCTTTCCTCCTGGGGTCCCTGCTTGCCCCATCTTGCCATGCATGGTCAAGGAGATGTTTATTCTTTAACCCCTCTCCTGACAGCCCCTTCACCTTGCATCAGGGTGGGCATCAGTGTGAGCCTCAGCCTGGAGGAATGTATGTGTCTGTACTGGGTTAGTTTGCAGTAAAGAGTTTAATGCATCCAAGCAGCAGTGCTGGACAGAAACACCAGTCAAACTGGCACCGTGAGCGGCACCATTTACAACAGGGGCTGGAAAAAGGCAGGTAAGAAAGTAATTAGCATTAGAGGCTAATAATTAGATAAGGTTACATTCAGAGTTTTGAAGCTAACGATGGAAAAGCCCAACTATGTGATGCAAGGATGATCCTCCGGATAGATCAGTTTGTACTAAAATCTAGCAGGGAGCATTTGAAATCTGTGTTCAGACTTCTCAGGTAGAGTCAGTGTGTCCTGTCCATGGCTCAAAGCCAGTGCTTAGAGCAGCCACCTGAACCCCAGCACAGTCCTGTAGCTCTGGATATGTTAAGCAAAACCTCCACTCCTTTTCCTTCTGCAAATCCAACCCAGCGACACTTAACCAGGGGTATCTTCAATTAAATTTATGCTGCTCCATGAATTTCAGTGTGTTGCTATCTTTTGTTTTGCAAATGCATGGAAGTATTGATGAGTTGTTAAGAGGGAGGCTGCAGAGTTTGGCAGCTGTGCTGGGGGCAGCCAGAGGTCTTAGCAGATGGGAAGACATGAGGTGGTTTTGCCTTTTTGAGTAACAAGTTGGTGTGGTACTAAAAGAGGTGCCAATTAAATCATTTCAGTGTCAGCGCTGCTAACTCTCTGAACCAGGTTTCCCTGAAACAGGCAGGAGCTCCTCACACCGCTGTGAAGCAGCCGCTCCAGCCAGTTTGCACATGCAGCCAGATGTTGCTGACTTGGTTAAATCCTTCCTCAAACCAGAAGGGTTTTATCACAGCTGTAAGGAGCTGCAAACTCTTCAGTATGATAAAAGTGCTATGCAGAGCCCTTGGTTGAGAAATGTCATTAACAGTGACTGAGCCTGGGACCTTTGGATGTTCAGAGCTAGTTTATTTCAGAGTTTCGGCTAGGCACATACTGGAGCAGAGCCTTTGGGGTTGCGGTTTTGGAGGAAGACGTGAGCACCATGGCCATCTACCCGCTGGGCCTTGCTTTGTGCAGGGGTATGGCAGTGTCCTTTCAGTGTCTGCAGGACAAAGCCCCCTTTACATGTTGGTGTACTGAGGGGATTTGGACTGGGTACTGGGGCTGCTTGCTCAGGGCAGAGGGGATCTCTCTTGCCCCAGAGGATGCCTCTGGGTCGCCTGGCTGACATCCAGGGGAGGTTTCTCATAGTACCACATTTTCAGAAGTTTATTCACCTGGACCTGATCTGTGATGCCCTGGAGTAGACCTTCCTCTTCTGCGGCCCTCTCTCCCTCCCTAAGCAAGCTGAAGCTGTGCAGTTTGATCTCTTGCCGCATGCTTTCGAAGAAGTGGAGGATGCATTTGTGAGCAAAGAGCCGGCTGTGCTCACAGCAGGTTTCCTCAAAAATCTTTTGCTCGATGTCAATGTAGTTGCTCCAGTGACGTGCCTGTAGGAGGGTGGCCTGGTTGAAGCAAGGTCTGAGCCAGCGGGCGAGGAAAGCTGCTACGATAAGGATCAACAAAATGCTCCAGCCGAGTGCCTGGGTGATAAGAAATAAGCAGTGGAACAGTAGCAAGACAGGCACAAGGACAGGCACGAGCTGTTTGCCTGTGTCACTGAGACAGGGAATTTGTGTGGCCGGAGGGGAATGTCGTGTATCTGGACTCCCCCTTGTCCCTGAAGTCCAGCACCCTCAGACTGCACTCAGAGGGTCAGTGTAATCTCCTCACAGTGCATACAGGACATTTATCTATGCATCAACAGCTCGGTAAGATAACTGAAAAGTTACCCTCGAGCAGCCAGGTGTTTGCTTTGAGCAGGGGAGTGCCCCAGGGAAAGGGGACTTCGGTGCTATCCTTTGGTACTCACCTCCAGTGAGATCTTTATCTGCCACCTGTACTGGCTCCAGGGCCCAGGAGCTCCGGCAGCAGGGTGAAGACAGCCCAGACTACATGCAGCTCCCTTTGGTAAGAAGGAAGGGCTTGTTTTCAATGCCCTCCCACCGGTCCTTGTCCCTGACCTGGCACTCCCATACCAAGAGCATCAGCTAGCCAGGGCTCCACTCCCCATTGTGTCCCATTGTGTCCCATTGTCTTATCGTTCCTGAGCCAGCTGCTTTTATCTGTCTCAGCTTGCACTGTCCTTAAAATAGCAGGTCCTATCTGTGAGGTTAGGAGTTAGAAAGGTCTTCTGACACTGGACAGGGTCTTAGAAGACACCTACATTCTCTGCAACCTGCTTTTTATTATCTGGGTTTAGAAGTTGCAGGTTCTTCTAGAAACAAAGTTCTGTTAATTAAACCATCCTTTATTTCTTTCC